CTTCTTAGATTTAACCTGTGCTTGTAGATGTATCTCCTTAGCAAGTGGTTTTAAAGCATGGAAGACTTCAAGTAACTTGCCATGTTAAACCACTTCAGCTTCTTGTCTCTCCACCACTTCAGCTTCATTAACCTCATCATCTTCAGCAATACTCAAGAGAAACTCTTCAATGACCTTATTCTCTTCTTCTGTAGCAACACTCAAGCTATAGGTGCCCCCCCTCCCCCCCCCCCCCCCCCCCCCCCCCCCCCCCCCCCCCCCCCCCCCCCCCCCCCCACACACACACACACTTAGAGACTCAATGTCCTCATTGGTGATTGCATTGCAATAGTCCTTTGGGTCTGCTTCCCTTTTTCCAGGAAGTTGCATTGGCTGTTGGAAGTAGAAGCGCCTTTGCTCCCAAGAAATTTTAGTCTTTGATTCATGACATCTATCTTGGAGTTCAAATCACAAGTGGAGGTGTCTATCTTGTTGTGTACATTAACAAATATATTGTGAAGCTCAATGGTGGCAGTAGCTTGGCCATTAATCAATTGCTGAACTATTTGCTTGATTTCTGCATTATGGTTGATAGAAGAGCCTTGTGCATTGCCAAAATCAGGTGGATATTGCTTTGGTTGGTAGCCTCTTTGGTTGTTCTGAAATAGTGGTTTAGGGACAAAGCCTTGATGTTGGTTGTATGGACAAAAGGCTTGTTCACATGACCTTGTTGAGCTCCTTGGGAAGGGTAGAATTGGTCTTGTGGTTTGGCCACATTAGTGCTTCTTAGGAGAAGTTGGGATGATATCTGTAGTTGTTGAAGCCACCACCACCTTGTTGATTAATATATAAAGCTTCTTTTTGAAGATTAGGTTTTTCCACTTGGACTTGGCCAGCTTCACCCACAAAGTTAACAGCCTTCAATGAAGAGCTTAAAAGCTTGTCAAGCTTCTCATGTAAAGCATTTATCTCCTTCTTGGTGGCGCTATCTCCTTCACTTGTAGAGTTCCTTGTAGTCATATCATAAACTTCATTATAGTTCCCATCTGAAAGAGTAAGGTTCTCCACTAAATCAAGTCCCTCTTCAACATCTTTACCCAAGAAATTTCCATTGCTTGCAGTATCAAGGAGCATTCTGAACTTGGGAAGAACTCCTCTATAGAGAGTGCTTAGAAGACTCTCATTGCTGAAACTATGGTGAGGACACTGAAGTGTGTAAGTCTTGAAGCGCTCCCAAGCCTCACAAAAGCTTTCATTACTATGCTGAGAGAAGCTTGAGATGTTGTTCCTAAGCTTTGCTGTCCTTGTTTTTGAGAAAAACTTTCCCAAGAATGCCTTCCTGCAATCATTCCATGAAATAATGGACCCTTGAGGAAGAGTTTTCTCCCATTGATGAGCTTTGTCTCCAAGGCTGAAAGGAAAGAACCTGAGCTTTAGACCATCTTCACTCATACCTTGTATCTTTTTCATTGCAGAAATCCTATCAAACTGGTCCAAATGGTCTAGAGGGTCTTCCATTGGCAATCCATGTAAACTATAAGCTTGCACCATGTTCATAAGTCATAACTTAATCTTAAAGTGGTTTTGCTGAACTGGAGGGACAAGGATTCCATTCCTATTGATGTGGGTGTTAGGAGCATCACCAGCTCCTATTTGCCTTCGAGCTCTTACACCATGTAAAAGAGCTCTTTCAAGATGAGGCTCTTGGATGTGTTGTGCAACTCCAGGAGCTTGTGCTGGTGCTCCTTATGGTCCCTGAACCTGTGGATGATCCTGATCAGCCATAGTCAACTCTTCGTGAAGCTGAACATGTTCCCTTTGTCTTCTTGCTCTTACACCTCTATCAAGATGATGAATATTGCCAACTCTTTATAGAAGATTGTGTGAGCCTTTAGACCTTAGGTTCATGCAAGTGGTACCTGAAACAAACAAAAGTAAAGAAATCCAGAAAGTCTAGTCTAAGCAAGAAATTAATCTTCAAAAGACCATTCCCAAAAAATGGAAATGAGGCCAATTGACACAAGCTTTTTTAAGGCTTAATGCAATCTCATTGCACTTGATGTAGTATAATGGCAAATGATTTAATCAATCCAAGCTTAAGGCGTTATAGAGAAGATATAACAGTCTTGCTAAGCCAGACTAAAAATAGGGTTCAAATTGGTTTACACTCAATCAAGCAAATAAGTGTACACATGTGATCAATGTAACCAAGGCATAAACATTAAGCAAGAACAATACTAATGACATGCAAAACAGAGCAAAACAAAGCAGGAATTAACAAGTTCTAATTAATAAAAGGTAAGGTCTAAGATTAAGGCAATATGACTTGAGTGGTTCAAATCATGATCAAGGTATAAGACAAACAATCAATGCATCAATCTCTAAGCAATGACTACTAATAAAAACTAATCCAATCCCTTAGTACTAATTCCTTTACTAATCACACTCCTAATATATTTTTAATGGTGGAAACATAATCATCAAGCATTAAACACAAAGTCTATAAAGCTAAAAATAACCTTAGACAATTAATTCCTTAGGCTAAGCATACTAATCTCTTATGCAATTGATCAAACATTAACTCACACTCTTATGCATAATCAATGTCTAATGGCAATTTCTCTATCCCTTAAATACTCTAGAATTAAGCTTAAGCATGCAAGAAATGATAGATGCAATGAGTCATGACAATCAAAACATCATTTTCAAGTAATAAACCTCATTCAAACATTTTTTCAAACACCTTAGTTGCAACAAAATATCTAAGATCTATTTCAGGCAAACGGAAGATACTTGGCTTTAAGAACAATCACATAAGAAGAGATTAACAAAGATCTAACACCTAACACCTTAATCAATCATTGAAACCACCCTAATCTACTTTGATCTCAAACCTAAAGTTGACTACTCACTAATCATACTTAAATCCATAAGGTTATGGCTAAACATGATTATAAGTTGATAGAAAAAACAAAGCTTAAAAGAGAAGTACAAGACTTTATTGAAAATATAAACCTAAAGATCAAACTTGTTCTTAAGGGAAGTTCTTGAAAATAAAGGAAGAGTTTTTGGTTTAGATGTGACAAGACAAGAAAAAAACATAGATAAGATGTTTTTTAGACCAAGCTTATTTATAAGAGAGACCCAAAATAGGCTTGCTCAACTAAAATAAACCTAGTCAATAGAGTCAACTCTTGGTCAAAAATCTGAAAATAGCTCATATCGAGCAAGGTAGGAACGAGCCCTCCATGGTATGTGTGATCGGTGTGTGCTAAAGAAGCTGCGTCTGAGGTTTGGCTTGGCAAAAGTCTCGACCTTGGTTTGCACTGTGCAAGGCATGGTAGCCTCTCCTTGGTATAGATGCACGATATATCCTGTTCTTCTTGTACTGGGCTCTGTTAGCACGAACCTCCTCCGTGAGGTTTCACAGTATGAGTCTTGGTTCAGCATCTCGGTCATGGCCCTCAAACGTTGTACGCACCAGACATGGATAAAGGTGCCATCCATGATGTGGGTCCACGATGTGACTTCTGGACGGTTTGAAAGCTTGATTCCAGCTTGATTCCCCTTCTTCACTCGATCCACCATTCTCCTAGTGCCCTCCTAAGCAACTCAAAAGCCCTGAAATACACTCAAAATACAAGGATGTATGCAATCCTAAATCTAATGCAAGCTAAGTCTAAAATGGATAAAAATGGGACACTTAGGACCTAAAATGGATGGGATGAAGTGAAAACTTATACTAAATGATACCTAATATGATGTAATAATGCATGCTATCATGCAGCTGAGATATACAAATATTCAAGTGTTAAGCGTGGAAATGATTTAATCAAAAAAGAAACTGTAGCCGATCCAAATAGCAAAATCAATAATATCTCATCATTTGTATCTAGAGATGAGATAAGAAAAATTTCAGCCAAATTTGTGTTATGCTTTGATTATCTATAAATTATTATATTTTATTGAATCCTATAATCTTACTATTCCAACTTTCACTTATTGATTCAACAATTGAAGACTCTAATAATCTACTGAACACACCTCTACAGAGCGTTCTTCTGAGTCTGAGGAGTTGGAGGACTTGACATCTACCTCGAAGAAGGTTTGCACTATGTCAATCAAACTCGAATTGATGACGGACCTTGAGAAAGTGAAGTTTTTTTATGTGAAAGAGAAGAATGAATGAAGGATGTAGAAGTTTCAATTGTTGTTCTTTTCTTATTTCGTTACGAATTATTATGTTTTTTGAATTTGATATTAAGTTTGTTTTTCAACCATAATTGACCCCCATATTACATTTACTTTGTTGCTTTAATGATTTTTTTTATTTTAAATTTTGTTAGTTATTCTTTTGATAAGATAATTATTGAACAATTATATTGGAAGAATTCATTTTTATAACAAATAAATTTTATTTTAATCAAACTATTTTATACTACAATCAAATCTAAACTTTTTTAAGACTTTTTTTTAAATAGATATTTTATAAACGTAGCAATTTTTATTTTAAAAATAACCATCTCAAAAATCTGTATCCTACTATTATGTTATTTGTTCAATCGTAATACTATCTAATCGCTAATTTTGGAATATTTGAATGATGAAAATCTTTATTATTGATCCTCCAAGATTTGTGATCTTAGCATACAGTTTAACCTAATATTTTCTAGAACAATTATAATTTGGAGAGTTCATATAAGTAATTATGTTTTTGGTCAGACGCTATCAAAACTATGAATAGTTCTGACTATAAAATTTTATTCATTTAGTTTTAAAAATATGGTAAACAGTTTGACGCTGAAGAGTTATGACTTTTCCAAAGCTCAATGCAACTGTCAAATCCGTTTGACCAATTCAGTGCATAATTTAAATTGTTGCCAGTATCATTTCTCATTCTCGGTCAACAAAAATCCATGTTATTTATTATTCTAATTCTATTTAAATTACATGAACCTTTTTTATTCTAATTCTACAATTATTTTCCCTTTTCTACCAAAACCAGAAACTTTCTTAGGCAGGCAGGAAAAGTGTTAATGACGACTGTTTCAATGGTCGACGATTTGCATCGATGGAGAACCAATTGGACCATTAGGGTCAAGGTACTAAAGAAATGGAAAGAATATGGTGCACGCGGTAAAGAAATTCTACACTTTCTTCTCGCCGATGAAAATGTAAGTTTTGGTGGTATTAAATATTGCAAGCGCTATAGAATTCAAAAATAATATATCTGCTGTGAAGAAACCAAATTATTATTTTTATTACTACTATTAGGAAAGGAAAATTCATGCATCTGTCGATTGGTCCAGTTTAGTTAGAAGATTTGATACTATTATGCTTGAAGGAGAATGGAAGGTGATCACTAACTTTGTTGTCAAAGATTATTCATCACGTCATCGTCTAAGTTTTGTGCGTGTAGAAATCAATCTTGTGGAGAACACAACCATTTTCAATGCAACTGTTAATAATGATAGTCATTTCACCGATTTCGTAAGTTTTGGTGCTATCAAATCCGGGATAGCTGACTCTTCATATCCAATCGGTAAGTTGTTATTGCTAATATGATAAAAAAGTGAAAAATATCGTTAATATTACTAATATGACTTCATTGTTTTTGTTTCGTTTTGAGAAAGTTTTATGGATTTTTGTCTTTTTCATTGCAGACTTGATTGGATATGTAGACTTTGTTTGGACAAATGAATTAGTTATGGATCCTTCATTTGTAGGAGATTATTTGAATCCTCAGACAAACAGAATCAAAATTGATTTAAAGGACATCAAGTAAGTTGAATTTTGTTTTCATATTTTATATTGTGCGTAGTTGTATTTACATGTTGTTTTTTAATATAGTGGTTATGAGCTACAAGTCTTTGCTTATGGAAAATTGGCCATTGAATTCATGGAGAAATATTCATTACATAATGTTCCGGGAACTGTTTGTGTTTTGACTTACTGGAAAATTAAGAAGATTAATGGTATTTTAAATAAGTGCAGTTATTTGTTTTTATGTTTGTGGTTGTATCTTCATTCATGTGGTATATTTATCTAATTTATTTTCATTTTTTTTGTTTGAATTAAGACACGTGGGAAATTATGGACAATGGTGCTGTTTCAAGGTTTGAATTTAATCCTACTTTGCCAGAGGTTTATGAATACCAAAACGTGATGTAAGTATTATTTCTTTTATTCTATTTTATTTTAATGACATAATTTGATTGTTCGATGGTTCAAGTTTTTTAATTTATCTATAGGGATGCTCGTGATTAAGAATTTGGAGATGCATCTGAAAATTATGAAGATTGATCTAATTTCTAAATTTCATTATTCTCTTCATCATGACAACTTTGTTTTCTTAAAATAATTCTCCAGTTATGTACTAAATCTTTATTTTATTTTCTTTTCTTTAATTTTGCATGTTTAGAATCAAAATAATTAACTTTTGGTCTGAATATTATTTTTATGTTTTTTAATTCTGCAAATGTTCTTTCAACCCCCTTTTATCTTATAGTATTTATATATAAATTATCAATATATATTTAGGAAAGTCAAATGAACATAGAAAGATAAGAAGTCAAACATTTATTTTGCAATCTGACACTTAGATTGGGCTCCCCTTCTTAACTTAAAATTTTAAAAGACCAATGCTCAAACCTACATTAAGAAATCAAAAATATCTTATTCAGTACAATTGAAACTTATAAAGTCTAACTAGATTCTAATCTGCGCGTCCGCGCAGGACAATGTTTAAAAAAGATTAAAATTTATAATTTATAAAATGTGATATAAAAAAGTAAGATATAAATGTGTTATTTTCATGTTTAGATTTTTTTATATATCATAAAGAGTGAATTTAAATTTTGTAAGTACACAAATATATAATTAAAAAGAAAATATTATAAATTATTTGTTATTGATTTAAATATAATAACTATAACTACGTAATTTTTTTATTTTTGTTTTTTTTTCCATTCCCTTATTTTAAAAAATTTATCTGTTTTTTCTCTGTTCTTCTCTTCTCTTCCACTTTTCCCTCTTCTCTCTTTTTTCTCCGCTCTTCTTCTTATTCTCCATTTTTTGTCTGTTTTACTTCTTGTTCTTCTGTTTTTTCTTCTCTAGTTTTTTGTTCTCTGTTTTTCTTCTTCGTACTTCTTTTCTGTATTTTTCTTCTTCTCCAATTTTGATTTAAGTTTCGTTTTTATGTTATTCTTCTCCCTTCTTCCTCTTTTCTTATTTTTATTATTTTTTCTCTGCTTTTTCTTCCTTTCTCTTTTTTCCACTTTTTTCTTTATTCTTCATCTTTTTCCTCATTTTTTTTTTTCATTCTTTTTTCTCTAACTTTTCTACTGCTTTTTGTTTTTGTTTGTTTTCTTTTTTTTGTTTTTTTGTGTTTTTTCCTATTTTCTTTCCTTTTTCCACTTTTTCTTTTTCTTTATTTTTTTTTAAAACTTTTGCTAAGCAAAATGAAAAGGGAAATTTCTTATACTAAATAATTAATATTATGCTGTTAAAAAAATAATTAATATTATATAAATAATTGAATATATATATATTATGGTGATAGCATTTAATAATAATATATATAAGACGAACCGACATAGGCTTTGTATTGTAATGGGAAGAAATTGATCATGGTATATAAACTTGATTTTCTGAGTATAAGAACTGTTATTTAGGAAGTCCAATCGCAAAAATAAAAAATAAAGAATATTGACATATAGCCTCGGTCTGACATATTTTAGGTCTCTTGGGAAAAATAAAATTTAGACCTTACTAGTATTATTTTTTGGCATTTTCTATATATTTTTTAAAATAATTTCGAATTAAAGATAAAAAGTTATATAGTTCTAAATTTTAAATAAAGATGGACCTTTTATAAGAAAGATAACAAAATATTGGACCTCTAGTGAGAAGAGTAATAGAAGATTAGGCCTTTAATGATTTAATGAATAGAATAGATTTAATAAATTATATATATTTGATGAAAGTCCAATGGCATAATAAGTAAATAACACATTAAGTAAATGTTATTTTTCTAAAGTGGGTTCTCTTTTAATATAATAGATATTCTAACCTACAATAGTTAACTAGGTGGTTGACCCGCACATATGTGCGGGTATAATTTTTTTGATGTACATAGTTAATTGTAATATTTAAGTGTTGATTAATTTTTTTGAAACATTGGTATATTTGTATATATATATATTGTTTTAATATTTCACTAAGTTCTTTGTCAAACTAATGTATTTTAAAACTTTTTATTTTTACATTCCTTGTAATAATATATAATTATAAATATAAAAGTTATATTAAATAATAATTAAATTCTTATAATATTTTTTGAATATTTCTAAAATATGCTTTATTTCTCCTTACACAATCTACAATATGTTTTTTTTGCATCTTACATAATATGAATTTGCGAATACATATATAATATATTTTATGTATATATTTTCTTTTGATTTATTACAAATTTAACTGAATAGTTTTTCTCATTTTTACTTATTCCTAAGAGCGGATAGATGGTTGGCATGCATGCTGCAGGCATACCAACCACTTCACTACACTTAAAATAGATAAAAAAAAATTTAAAATATAAATTATAAAATAATTAAAATAAAAATTAGACTGTAATCAAGCTTAACAAAATACATGCACGAAAAATTTCACATATGACTTGAATAATGAAAAATTAATATTTATGTTTGTACGCATATTTGTATAAAATTTGAAATATAGCTCTTACGTGTTAAAAAGTTATTAAGTAATTTTGTAAAACAAAGTGCGAGAGATTTATTTTTATATACTACTATTTTTATTTCTTATTCATATTTGTTTCATCTTATTTTAATTAATTCTTTCGTTTGGTTATTTTCATTTCATTTATGATCTCAGATTTTTGATATAAAATGAAAATAAATTTATGTAATTATATATATATATATAATATGATATAAATTTTTACTTTTATTTAAAATATGATAAGAGATAAGATGAGATGGTAACATAAATTATGTACATTTTAAAAAACAATAATAAAAAGATGATAAAAGTTATTGAAAAATATATGGTCCTATTAGTAATATAAAATAATGATTAGTATATTTTTTATTCATTTAGTAAATATTGGTCTGAAAATAAAAATTATTTTAAATTATGTTTTTTTAAATTTCAATAAAAGTTAATTATTTTAATTATTTTTAACATTTTACTCTTTAAATTATTTTTATCATGATTGTATTTTATTTAAATTTGTATTATTTGATAATATGTTTATTTAAAACTTGTTTAGATTTTATTATTATATTTTGTAGATCAATAACTTTCTGAAATAAAAATATATCATACTTCAAGTATTATTAATATATAGAATTTTTACTATTCTATTGGATAATTTATTATTATTTTGTTCGTTTTTATATGAAATTATAATATATATATATATATTGTTGAAATTTTTTGTAATTATATTTTATGAATTATGAATATATGTAAAAACTTGAAATTATAATAATAATTATTTTCTGTTAATTTAAATTTGTTAATTTTAGTGTTATAAATATAATCTAGAGTATTTATGTTTAATTTCCTAATTTCTATAATTTTAAGGGGGAATTGCTGAATATGACTCAAAACTTGAGTTGAAATGCAAAACTAGACCTCCTATTGCATGTTTGACAAAAATAACTCACAGGGGTAGTGAAATTACAACTTTAACCTTTATGACCAAACAAAAAAACGCCAACCTCAATTACTATTTTATTCCAGAGAAGTCTACTCGAGAAGTTAAGTAGACTTCTCGAGTAGACTTCTCCAAAAAGTCTACTCTTTAATAATATGTTTACAATTAATTTTAAAAATCATAAAAGATAATTTAATAAAAAAATTAGATACATAACAACAAATATATACTTTTTACACCTATTAAAAATAAAATTTGACAGAAAATAATCAATTTAAATCATCATAGATAATTTAGGATAAAAATCAATACTAAGAGACTTCTCGAGTAGACTTCTCGGTTTCTCAAGTAGACTTCTTGAGTAGATTTCTTGGAGAAGTCTACTTACACGATCTTTTTCCTACATATATAAGGAGAGTTTAACCTAATTGTATTAACAACAAAGTCTCTCTCTATCTAAAAAACACCTCTCTCTCTTCTCCCTTCTCTATGGCCATGAATTTCTTCTCCTTCCTCTCTTGCTATCAATATCCTCTCCATCCTCTCTATCTTGCATTCAACCTCCTCTCACTTGCAGGTTATGGTAGTGGTAAGCAAATCTGAGCTTTTGTGTTCCTCTTTTTGTTTGCTTTGTGTTCATATTGCAAATCTGAGCTTATTATTATAGATTTGAGCTTATTGTTGTAGATCTAAGTTTATTTTTATAGATCTGAGTTTATTGTGGTGTAAATTTTGTAGATTTTGTTAATTTTTGTTATTATTGCAGAGCTGAATTTTGTTGATTTTTGTACAGATCTGAATGTTATAAATATAGTAGATTATTATTATAGATCCGAGCTTATTAGTTTAGATTTGAGCTTATTGTTGTAGATCTAAGTTTATATTTGTAGATCTGAGTTTATTGTTGTATAAATTTTATAGATTTTGTTCTAGATCTAATTTTTTCGTTATTGTTGCAGAGCTGAATTTTGTTGATTTTTTTTGCAGATCTGAATGTAGACTTCTCGAGTAGACTTCTCGATCTCGAGCAGACTTTTCGAGTAGACTTCTCGATCTCGAGCAGACTTCTCAAGCAGACTTCAGTTGCATACATAATTTTCAGAGATTTTAGTTTACTAGTCATTTCTTATGCCAATTTTAAGATTTATAATTAGTGATCCTTAAATGTTTGTTTGTTTAGAGGGTTATTTTCTATGTAATGTTGAATTGCATTGAATGTTTTGTATTAAATTCCTAAATTATCTATGTTTATCTATTCTACAAAATAGACTTCTCCGGTCTCGAGTAGACTTCTTAAAGACATTAATTTTACATTACTTATAAGTGATTCAGAGGGACATTTCTCCCATTTATATCATATAACTTGTCAACCGAGTAGACTTCTCTTGTCTCGAGTAGACTTCTCCTATCTCGAGTAGACTTCTAAAAGACATTAATTTTACATAACTTAAAAGTGATTCAGAGGGACATTTCTCTCATTTATATCATATAACTTGTCAACCGAGTAGACTTCTCTTGTCTCGAGTAGACTTCTCCTGTCTCGAGTAGACTTCTAAAAGACATTAATTTTACATAACTTAAAAGTGATTCAGAGGGACATTTCTCTCATTTATATCATATAACTTGTCAACCGAGTAGACTTCTCTTGTCTCGAGTAGACTTCTCCTGTCTCGAGTAGACTTCTAAA